GGGCAGCCCATTACCACCGAATGAATGAGCATATCCATTAGCACATAGAAGGCCCAGGCACAGAGTTTGCGTTGTGAATGTTAATTACTGGAGTCCCAGAGAGTAGCACTATGGAAGAGTCTACGGTATTCTTTCAAGCACTGCCTTTGCCTGACAACTTCCTCACCCCCTCTTTGCCTCTTCTTCCCGCTGGTAGAACAGGGCTGGGAGATAGCTCAGTAGAATAAGCGCTTGCCTGGCAAGTGCAGAGTCCTGAGTTCAATCCCTGCTACCAAGAAAAAACAAAAACAAACAAACAAAAACCCACTGGTAGAACAGTAGCTACTGCACAGGCTTGTTATGTGAGTTGAACAGGTTACTCAACAGTTGCAGGCAGACAGCAAGTGCCAGGCAAGTGCTGCTTACCATGCGCACAACTGCTCTGACCCTGGAAAGTGATCCTCCTTCAGACCTGCCCCTGTACACACCCAGTCGACCACATCTGACACTGAACAGCTATCATGTAAAGTGACTCCTGAGTACTAAGCTCTAAAAATGACCATAAAGATTGACAATTTAAGAACATAGATTAAATAGATTTTAAATACATGAAGTGTGAGGAAAACAGATTACTGGTTCCACCTATGCAAATGTAGTAGACACAATGTTCTGTCACTGACATGTTTGGCTACTCTGAGATTCCGGAGACTTTATAGCTCCATTTTGTTTAACATAAGCCATTAAGCCATAATGATTACAGTGTCTCATGATAAATTAGCAGTTTTGGGGTTTCCAAGCTATTCTGAAATATAGGGCATTTGGCCCAAGTTGAATAATGCTCCTTAAATAAAATACAATTTATGAGCATTTTATAATATGCAAATTTCAAATGATCAGTATTCTAAACATAATGAGCAATTATGTATAAACTGTAAAGAAGGCCTCTCCTATAAAAGAAAAATGGTAATTTTATTGGCTCACTAGAAATAATGTGACAGGTAATTCTACGAGTTATTTTCCTTATCTGTATCTTCTGAGTTTTCTGCAAGATATATGCATTATTTTAAAATAAATGTATCCACCAATTCACAATAGATGTTTTCATCACCCCCCACTGCTTATAGTGGATGTATATCTAGTGAAGTCACCAGAAAAAAATCCCTGCCCTCACAAAACATTAAGATACTAAGTAGGAAAACTATACAAAAAAAAAAAAAAAATGCACCACCAAATGCAAAGTAGAATAATTTCGGGCATCGCGTGAAGCCTGGAAGGAGGTCGCAGGTGCTGGTATGGCTTCCTGCCGGGTCCCGGTGGGAGCTGCCAGTTTGGCAAACGAAACCCCCGAAATTCCGGACAATGTGGGAGACTGGTTTAGGGGCGTCTACCGCTTTGCCACCAATAGGATTGACTTTTGGAGGAACTTGATCCTCAATCTGGGACTCTTCGCTGCAGGAGTTTGGCCGGCCAGGAACTTGAGTGACATTGATCTCTTAGCACCTCAGCCAGGCGTGGAGCCGTATGGGGGAAATGAAATTCCTACACGGTAGCCAAACCTCCACAATGAGGGCCTCCCGTCTGGGACCAGCGCGAGATACACTCTGAGGGCAGCTGAAGCTGACTCATGGGGGCCCTTCCTCTTCTCTTCCCTCCTCAGACTGCGTTCTCTGCATAGCAGCTGGCCACAGCTAGTGTCGCCTCTGTGCTGTAAAGTTCTGTACACAGCCTGTTTCTGTAGGGGGCAGTCATTGCTGCGTCCTAAGGCGCACTAAGGGTGCTTTGAAAAATATTTGAAATAAAGACTGTTCACAAAAAAAGAATAATTTCATAACACCTAATATTAAATCTCCAAGACTTCATAGTAGTGTACCCAGGCCCAATTCTTGATTCATTTTAATACCCAAAAGGTGACTAAACCATGAATATAATTATCAGTTTTCTGGGGTTGCTGTAAATAATGCCTCCAACCTGAAGACTGAAACAGTAATTTCTTTTCTTGATGATTTGGATACCAGAAGTTGAAGGTGACAAGTGTCAGCAGGGTTGTATCTTCTGAGTCCTCCCCTCTTGGCTGAATCATGTTCCAGTGTATTTGCATGACTGTCCCTCTGTGTGTGTCTGCCCCAGTATCCTCTTAGGAGAACAACAGGCACGTTGGATTAGGGACCATCCTGCTGACCTCATCCAACCCTAACTACCTCTTCCAAGACATTGTCTCCAAATTCAGGCCTGTCACGTAGGACATTTTTTTTTCTTACAGTGTGATCCCTACGAGGTGTTCTCCTAGCCTTTGTCCTCAGAAGACTAACAAATTAAATCAATGTGCTTTCATAGAGGAAGGTTTTACTGCTGCAAGTATTTAGAGGGAAAAAAAACAATACAAAATAAAACTAAGCTTAATAGCAATTAGAAGGTCTTGGAGAAATATGTGTGTTCAGTGACAATGAAGACATACCTCAGTTACAGAAAACAAGCCATGGTCACTTATAAAAGGCAGATTGATTGACAGTTGGTGTGTCAATCTTCTTGTATCTAGATGTCCTCCCAAAGTCTCATAGGTGGGGCTTTTCCAGAGGTAGATGTAGAGTGTGTGACATTAGAATTAATTCATGCAACTGATTCATAGCCCTAATCCTAGGCCCAAGGGCACTAGGATTAAGGGTATGAGTGCTACCTTCCCCTAACCAGCCTGGATAAAGTATAAGGCATACATCACTTGCTGATGTGCTACCTTCTGACACCTTGAACTATTTATCATCTGCCCTACCTGTCCACCATGCCACCCTGCCTGAGAGTCAACTGATTATGGAACGAAAACTCTACATACTGTGAGCTTTTCCCCCTTTAACTTTGAGTGTTGGAACAAGAAAAGTAAGAAAGACAGAATTTGATACCAGAGAAGGGAAGTTGTTGCTATGACTATACCTGACTGCACGGTTCATAGAAGAGTTTGGGAAGGTTCCAAGATGATGTCCGAAAAAAGTAGAGCTGGGACATGTTAGGCTGTATTTGATAGAAGGTTTTGGCCTGGTGACAAAAGACTAGAATGAAGACAGAAATTATGCCAGTAAAGATCAGGATCAGGAGGTTTCTGCTGAGAAGGAAGACTGTATTGGCTGTTAGATTCCAGATAATGTATGTTATGTATTGGTAGAAAACTTATCTGTGTTTTGCTCATTTCCAGAGATACTCCACCTGAGACTAAGAGAAATAAATCTTGTATAAGAAATTTCAGTGCAATCTAATATTGAGGTCATAGCATAGCTACTATTGGGTTTGGTTTTTGTTTTGTTTTGCTTTTGCTGGATTTATGTTGAGAATCACGAGCAAAGACCCCAGCAGAATGATTGAAAATGTTTTGAGTTTGGCCAAAAGGGAAGCTCCAGTGAAGTTGTGGCCTGCAAATATAGAACAGAGGACAAAATGGTTGCTGATAAAAATAGTAAGGAAAAGCTAAGCGATTTAGGAAAAGACAACAGAAGAGATGGCCTGAGGGCATCACACGAATCAACAGAACTCCAGCCTCCGTGGCCTCAGAATCACAAAGGTGAAAGACTGCTTTGAAAAGAGCCCCAGAACACCTGATCTGCAATGGCAGTGGCATGGAAAATTCTCAGGATTGGGTACAGAGTGCTCAGCAATCTATTCATGTGGCCCCGGAGTTGAGAAACGGAAGCCTGATAGTTGTTGCAGCTGGCGGCACACCTTGGCATTGTCCACGTGATGTTGGTTTTAGCTGCACACAAAACGTAATACCTTTGGAGTCAGAAAGGCTTTCACCCAGATTCCAGAAGAAGACTCGGAAGCCATCCAGAGTGGTTCTGGGAGGGCAGTGCATGAATCTGTGAGTATGAAACCAAAGGTACACTGGAGACCCTGGAAGTTTCGAGAAGCCAGAAATTTGGATCATCTGAGGAAAAATGTAAGAAGCAGCAGAGCTGGCCAAAGAGACAAGCCATGGGAGTTACAACCACTGGTAGTGGCCAAGGAGAGGAGCCACTCAAGCCCTCTAGAGTTCACATCTTGCCACAGATTGCATTGCTTGCTGTACATGAGACTCTAGGTCTTAATGTTTGCCCTGCTGGATTTTGGTCTTCCTTTCTTTCTATTTCTTGCTATCCCCTGTTTGTAAGTTTTAGAACAGAAATGTCTTTCTTGTGTCATGGAATGTCATAACTGTTTAATTTTCTTTTCATTTGTACAGGGGATCACAGCTAAGAGTTTGACTTAAATCTCAGAGGAGACTTGGGTCTTGGACTTCTCTGTGATGCTAAAACTGGTGGGACCATGGCAACTCTTAGAGGTAGACTGAATGCCCTTTACATAAAGATTTGTGCATGAGTCTTTGGGAGGACAGAGGCAGAATGTCATAGCCTGGGCCTACATGTCCCTCCACATCTTCATACAATAACAGGTGGGGCTGGATCTAGAGTGTGTGATTCCAGAATTGATTAATGATGCAATGTTAGGCTCAAGGGCACAAGGATGAGGGTGTGAGTGTGTCATGGTCTAAATAACTTGAATAATACATAAGGAACAGAAAGGACTGTGATCATCATTTGCATGTTTTGCTACCTTCTCTCTGCCTTGAACTACTTCTCATCTGCTATGCCTGTCAGCCCTGTCACTCTGTCTTGAAGCTAGCCAATTATGCACCGAAACCTCTCTAAACCATGAGATAAATGAAACCTGTATAAACCATGAGTTAAATAAAACTTTCCTCCTTTAAATTTGGGTGTAGCATATTTTGTCTCAGCCACAAGAAAAGTAACAAAGACAGCTGGGCTTTCAGAAACAGCAAGTTTTTAATGGAAAGTACATTACTGAGTGTACACTGTGGTACATTTGGATTTTGAACCCCTGGGAGGCCACACTCCCTCCCCAAGGGCACATAATCCTTCAGCCACAGGGCTACAGAGAAACTACCACACATGTACAGGTCTTGCTTTCTTCCTATTTCTTGCTAGCCCCTGTTTATAAGTTTTGGAACAGAAATGTCTGTCTTTCATCACTGAATGTTGTAATTGTTTAATTTTCTTTTTATTTGCACAGGGGATCACAGCTATTAGTTTGACTTAAATCTCAACATGACCCTGCCTTTGGCCATTTCACCTCAGCCCACAGTGTGGAAGGTCAGACAGAACAATAAGCAGTCACAATTCATAAAAACACAACAATAATAGCGTAGGAGGAGTGTGCACAGGGGCCTAACTCTTAAAAATTACACTGTTTGGGGGAAAACTGAAAGTATATAGCACCAAAAAATCAAAATTTCATATACATATTTTAATTATTGATTTTGCATTTTTATGTTTATATGTTTATCTAGTATCCAAGAGTTTTAACTAATACACTTCAAAATGCAAATAGAAAGGTTTAGCACAATTAAAAGGAAAGCAAGAATTTAAGGATTAGACAGTGAAGAGAGAGCAAGAAAAACAAGCTAGGAAACATGACAGGGGCAAAGCCATACATTTATATGTACAAGATGGGTAAGGCAATGATCCCAAGAGTCTTCAGAAGGCTTTCGAAGCTAGCAGTTAATTGGTAGGAGTCTCACCCTAACTAACTATATATCCTGATACTTGTGAACTAAGCAACTGCACTGAAGATAGCAGTGTGTAATAGTAGGGTCATGCTTGGAGTGCCTGTCATTCTGGTTTTCTGAATATGTGCTGCTTGCCATGACACACCGGTTGCTGCCGTGCTGTCTCTCAGGTAGATGTTTGTTTGAAAAGGAAAGGGGTGGTGAATGAAGGCTGGAGACAGGAAAAGGGGTGCTGCAGGACTGTCCTGCTACAA